CCCTGTCGTAGTCCGCCTGAGCACGGTCCATTGCAGCACCCATTGTCTGTCCAAAGTACGCGAGGAGTCAACGAGCTGATGGTCCAAATTGCTCTACGTCTTGCAAGGCAATCTGGTATCGCCTCTTTGCACTTTCATAGCCCGTTTCCTCCTTGTGACCTTGGCAGAAGGCAAGGTGCTGCTCTAGAGAGTACTCACCAAGCAGCCAAACGTATACTGCCCTATAAGCGTGCTCGGGAGGAAGGTCCACCGCTGTGCCTAGCACTGCTTCAGTGCTTGGGATGGTGGGGAAGACACCTGACCTGATGCCACTAGCAATGTTCTCTGGCACGGCAAACTGGATCATCTCTTGCTGTGGCTCTCTCTTTGCGCGCTTTGTGAAGATCAGCACACCTTGCCTTCTCACCACTTGCGCTCTTGATTGTCCGCTCATGGGGAGCCTCGTCTCTCAAACAAGCTCCGCCTTTGCCCGCTGTGTGAAGATGAGCATGCCTTCCCTTCTTGCCGCTCGCACTTTTGTTTGCTCTGCCACTGAGATCATCCGCTCTTGGGCAGCACTTGCCAATGCTCACTGGATGAGCTTTGGCCTTTGGCTTCATTCACATTGCAAAATCTAGGTGCCATGCCAATATCCTACTATCCCACCATCATCTTTGTTTCAAAGCTCTCTGCTAGCAACGTTTGAGGGACGTTGCGATGCCAATATCCTGTTATCTTAACATCACCTTCATTATAAATCTCTTTGCTGGCCAAGACGTTCAAGTAGTGGACCATCCGCCTGGGAAGGGTCCAAATGGTGCTCAGAATCTGTCCAAGAATCACAATCTATCTCAGACAACTCCATCAAGTCTCATGTTCATCAAGGCCATCATCAACCACGCAGCACCAGCATGCTAGGGAAGCTTGTAGTGGGTGCACAGCAGCAGAATTGTCAAAGGGGATGGGGGGTGGGGGTGGTCAAGGACAAAGAGGGATTGGGTAAGTCACTTGGATGGTGAAGTAGCTTGATTAGCCCTGTGCAAACAGACGGGGTGTAGGGCTCTGTTGTGTCAAAGAGGTGTGACAGCAAGGAAGGAGGGGCAGGTGTATGGCAGCCTATGGCCATGCTATTGGTAAGTGACACACTCGCGCGCAGTGCGGTGACTGAGCAGAGTCTGATACTACTTTGGCCTGCACAGTGTGTACGCGGTTTTGAGGCAGGCACATGATTGAAGGCACTCTGAAGACATCAGCAATTCAGACACGGTGACATCAGCAGCAACAGTAAGTCTATGCCGCATCCTTGCTCACTCAAGATTCTTG